CGTTTTAATTTATGGTCCTGGTCGCCATCTAGCGAGCAAAGTTCCACATCACATCCTCAGAACAGAAGCTCAGAAAAAGGTTGTTCAAGAATAAAGCAAAACAAGGTAAATTTCTGAATTTTTGCCATCTGGAATTTTGTTTAATAACTAATATAGCATCTCCAGAGTGTTCTCCACTTTAACTTGAAAACTCAGTCTTCTTTAAACATAGCATCCCGTCTTTACCCACTGATGCCTTGTGACTGCCTCTCTCCCACCTTACCTCTTTCATGTTCCTCTACAACACTGGGCCAAAATCAAAAAGGGAACACTGCAACCTCCCTGGGACAATGTTAAAAAGATGCTTCTTTATGGATCAGGAAAGCAACTTAAGACCAATTTATGGACGAAATCTTTCTATGGACTCTTAACACTCAATTGCCACTGAAAGTCTGAAAACATAGCTTTATGGAGACCAGAAACCACTCTTGCTGACAATCCATATTAAAATATGCCTTCAAATTTAATACAGAGCAAAAAAAATTAATACAGAGCAGTTAAAGTGAGATTTACTTGCTCACCACCCAAATCAGAAACTAGAACCTATAGGCTGAGCAGGGAGGGAGGAAGATCAGGGACAAGAACTGAAAAGTAAATCCTTACACAGGTAGTGGTGTTCTTAGGTGCCATTGAGTCAAGTACAACCCATAGCAACCCTATGAACAACACATCTGAACCCTGAGCTATCTCGCGTCATCCTTATCATCCCTGCTACCCTTGAACCTATTCTACAGTCACTGTGTCAATCCATTTCATTGAGGGCCTTCCTTTCTTTTGCTGACCCTCCACCTTTCCAAGCTCTATGATGTCCCTAGCTCTGGTTACTTAGTGGTAAGGAGCTGTGCTGCCAACCCAAAGGTTCAAAGCCACCAGCTGCTCCATGGAAGAAAGATAAGCAATCTCTTCCCATGTGATTTACAGCCTCTGAAAACGACTTGATGGTCAGCTGAGTCAATTCTAACTTCACAGCACATAATGACATACACAGGTGGGAGATGTTCATAAACTTAATATTAGTAATTCAGGATTATTGCTCTGGAGATGTGGTGTGACAAATGGAACAAAGATCACATGAATTGGTTTTGTTAGTGAGTAGTGAGAGTTGATAACAAGCAAGGTAGGGGCAACATACTATAGTCATATTCTATATGAAGCTCCTGTATTATCTGAAGTATGCTATGATTGGGATTTCTGGTGGCCCTTTGGTAAGGAGTTGTGCTGTCCAATGGAATACTATGCTGCATTAAAAAACAAGGAACTCATGCAATATTATTCAAAATGGTTGACTCTGGAGAACATTATGCTGAGTGAAATATCCCAGTCACAAAAGGACAAATATTACATGATGCCACTGTTGTAGAATGGGACTGTCCTTGGGGTTAGGGAGACACTGAGTAAGATGGGTTCAATAATGTATACTGCACTGAAACAGAAGAGGGAGAAAACTGTTTAAAAGAGATATATGACTAGGTACTTCTGTCATCACAGGAGTCTAGAGCGAGGGCTACATGGTGGAGGGGACCTGGGGGAGGGTTTGTAAAACAATGAAAGAATCCTTTCTTTTACTTTTCCATAATTTTTGACTCATGTACTTATAACTTGTTAGTCAAATTTGTGTCTTCTAGGTTGCAGCACCCCCATGATACATCTTCAAGGATATGAACATGTACGGCCAAGCACAATCAATAAGAGTGCATCTAAATTCCACAATCAATCTCCATAATAGTCTATGTGTTTCCTACTGCCAAAGGGGCCCTTTAGAGTAGTGAGAGAAGATCTTCACCCTGAAACCCACAGCGTCCCTTTTCAGCAGGAAGTAGCTAAGAGAATACGCCATCCCCTTTTCCTTATGAATCAGGGTGAAGTCTCTCTCAGGGAGGAGTGATAGGGAATGGCAAAGGACACACCGACAAAGGAGATTAATCAGAACTGACTTTGACAAGCACTGTGGCAATTGGACAATTAAAACAGACATTCAGATGGCGGGGAAGAAGAACAAACTGGGGAGGAGGGTAGAGAGAATGGTGCAGCAATGAAGGAATGAAAACCCAAAATCCCTGTAAATGTTCATTAAAACTAATAGAATTTAATAATTAAAAAAAAAAAAGGAGTTGTGCTGTCGACCTAATCACATGTGGTTCAAACCCATGACCAGCTACTCTGTGTGAAATTGATGGGCAGTCTCCTCCCATGTAATTTACAGCCTCTGAAAACCTACTGGAGGGTCAGCTATGAGTATGTTTGAACTTGACAGGACATGGCAACAAAAATATACTTTGATTGGCAGCTAGCTGCACTCTGGATATACGAAAATGAATAAGTCCTAGACATAGAAAATATAAAGATTTCTGGGTATACTAGAAACACCTATACTTCAAAGTTGAGATTTAGTAAAACTCATGCTGTTGTTATTGTTCAGTGCCATTGAGTCATAGATGACTCATAGTGACCCTATGAACGAAAGACCTGAACACTTGCATAACTTTCATAGTTTCTCCAATTTCATAGAATTTCTGGAGGAAAGCTATTTCAGAAGTGGATGCCTCTCCTGCTTCCATGCCTGTTTTAATTGGGGAGCTCCACCAAACACTGTCCACCATGGGTAGCCATTATTGTATTTGACACATCAGTGTCACAGCATTTGGCATCACAGCAACCACGAGTTACCTCTGTACAGCAAATGGACAGACCAGTGCTATACCACTTAGAATAATGTTTGACAAAAAAAAAAAAAACCAAAAAATAAAAAACCAAACAAACAATTAAAACCAGGCCTGAGAGATGTAGATTAAAATCACCCACCTTTGGCTTGGTAGCATAACTTTCTGTCCACTAGGCAAACAGAACTCTCTCGTTGTTGTTGTTGTTGTTAAGTGCCATTAAATCATAGACAACTCATAGCAACACTATGAACAAAAGACTTGTACACTTGTATATCTTTCATCATTTCTCCAAGTTCATAGAGTTTCCAGAGGCAAGCTATTTCCAAAGTGGATGCCACTCCTGCTTCCATAGTTTTGAGTTTTCAAGAAAGACATTCTTTTTTTAGCCCCATCTCGGCATTGAAGAACAGCATCTCAGGTAATTGTAGAAGTTCTATTTTAAATAACTCAAATTACATATCTTATATGATTGTCTATATCTCCTTTATTTCACAATTTTAAAAGGTGCACAGAAACAAGGGAACAGTAAACAAACATTGGTCTTCTGAAATCTCTGTGGGAACTATAATTGGAACAGAGAAAGATTCAGGGATAACAATGTGCAGGGTCAGAGCTAGACGACACAGAAAAGTAAGCCATTTGGGATTGTAAGGGGATAGATCTTATTAGTATTTCTACAGTTTCCTTAGAAATAAAGACCAATGAATTATACTAGTAGTAGAAAGAAGAGTAAAGCATGAGAAGTGTATAATCTCAAAACATAAAATTTGTAGAATCCATTCAAGATTTCCTTAAGGATTATGGAGTACAGTCACTCCCAGAAAATTGTTCTCATGAGTGTCTTTTGCCTAGTGTAGGGCCAGTCCATTCAGTGCCACATCAGGATCCGAAGACAAGCTTCAAATGGTACCTTAGTATGGCTGTGATGGGAGAGCACCTCTTGAGACCTGCAGGGACAGTGACAAAAGTCTCACAAGAAATCCAACCTCCAAGTTCAAGGACTCAGGAGACCACGCCAGCCAGCAGGAATCAAAGCCACTCTATATCTCATCCCAACGTTGTCTCCTCGAGCTGCAATCTCAAAGACACATGGTTTGACTTCCCCAGTTGCTCCACAGGAGGATGGACAATCTCCTCCCCTGAAGTAGATTGCATTTGCCAAACCACTGGAGGGTCAGCTGTGGATTGGTTCTGACTTAACTGCACACAACAACAACAATACAGGGAAGGAAGAACACAACAAAATCACAGGCAAAGTTACCTCATCATTAGACATCTGCGTCTCCACATTTCCTAGAAAAAGAGAAAACATCCCAGTTAAGACCAAATGACTATCATTATGCTGAAAGGATGGAAGATGACATGCAGCATGTACACCCTCAATGTTTCTGGCTTCAGAAAATATGATCCCAAACATCCCTGAGATGTACAGTCAGTCTACCCTGCCTCAGACCTTTGATGGTAGAGGAAGCCACAGGGCATGTACTCCTCAGAGGCTTGTTACCTTTCTGAGCCCTGAAGTGGATAATAATCGCCACCAGAAGGAAAATGATCCCAAACAGAAAGGTTCCAACTCCACTTAGCATCTTCCTCCAAGAATATTCAGACTGAACCCCTAAAGAAAACAGATCTTAATGTTAGTAAAATGTTCTCAATATTTGATGCATCTACTGGAGAAGAGTATTGAACATACCATGGATCATCAGGAGAACAAATAAATCTATCTTGGAGAGGGTGAAATCAAGGATTTTTAAGCTGTCTCACACTTTGAGCATGTGGCCAGGAGGGACCAGTCCTTGGAGAAGGACATCATGCTTGGAAGGGTGGAGGGACAGCACAGGAGAGGAAGACTACAGATGCTATGGATTGACATGATAACTAGACCATTGGGATTAGGTGTGTCAAAGTCAATGAGGCTGGCTCAGGATAGGGTAGGGTTCAGAGCTATGAGTTGTGGGCAACTCAATGGCCCAGAACCATAACAACCTGAAATACTAGAGCCTGGGGAAAAAGTAAATAATCTTAAGTAATAACTAACAAAAAATACTGCCTTCAAATCCATTCTAACTCATAGAGACTGTAAAACAGTGTAGAACTGCCCCATAGAGTTTCCAAGCCAATAAATCTTCACAGGATTAGGCTATCTCATCTTTCCCTCACAGAGCAGCTGGTGGTCTCAATTGCCAACCTTTCAGTCAACAGCTGAGCTCTTAACAACTGTTCCACCAGTGTTTGGAAGGCATAGGACTTGCAAGTTTATGCCTGTACTAGCCCAAGAATTCCAGATCTCTATATATCCCCAAATCAGGGGAAAGAAATTGTATTGTGACTAATAAAATGTGCAAAGGTGACACAGCCTCATATGAAATCAGTAGGCTTCTGAGTTGGGCTCAGAGAGTACAAGAAGTTAACTCTCACTCCACTCCACAGAAATAGGGCTCAGCAGGCTGGGGTGGTCAACAAGGCAGATGTAGACATCTCCAAGTTCAGGAGTCATTTCCAGCATCACCATAGTCTGAAAAGTCCAATCTCCATTCCTGATAAGGCCAGTTGAAATGATCCTAGCTTTCTCCTCTTGCTCATTCCGGAACCACTTGACCTTGATATCTCCTGGGTAGAAATTTGTCACAGAGCAGAGCAGCAAATTGGGATGCCTTAGGGATGGAGTCCTCTCTGGGTACACCACCACCTCTGGTTGCACTGGGAAAGGGAGGAAAAGTGAGACATTGTGAGAAACAACCAATAACTCTCTTTGGAACTAATCTCTATGTCTAAACTCTTCTCCCAAACTCTAGTACGAATTGGAAGAGTTAGAAAATCTCAGCACTAAGACTCAGGAAGTAGATGTGACAATGTCCCTAGAAGGGCTTAATCTTGTCAAATATTAATAATTTTGGTCATTAAACCTTCTGAGAACTTTAGAGGTCTAGGACCAAGACCTGTGAGAATAATCGGTGAATCACTGCTGAGAACAGAACATACAGAGACTTGCCTGTTCATGAGCCATTTATCTGAAGCAGAAAAATGCCCATCACAGAGCAGAAGAATTATAGCTAGGTTTGCATGGGGAAGTTTCCTGAATCCCACCAGACTTCATCTTTGACCTCACCTTTTCTCTCCACTGTGAAGGATGCACCAAGTCTGTAGTTATGTCTGCAGAGTAAGTCCACAGAAGCTCTGCTCCTTTCCACTATATCTGTCCGGTTATTCCAGTGTTCAACATCAGGCCTTCCCAGCTCCGTCAAGGCCACAAACATCCCCAAATCACTGTCAAAGTGTGCGTACTCCTCTAAGTTAAAGATGAATCGAACGACAAACTGCACCTTTTCTATCCCATTGGTGAAATAACATTCAGCCTTTGCCTGAATCACAAAATTTTCTGGGGGGGGGGAAAAAGACTATGAGTCAGCCTCCATGTACAGGAAGTCCATGCCTGGTAAATGATATCAGATATGATATGGACTTGATAGGAGGCTTTTGAGCTCTAATCCAAAGTAGAGTCCTTTTTCCCCCTACATTTGTTTTAGCAAGACAACATCAATTATGAGAAGCAGCTCAAGGCCTGTTCTATCACACCAACTAAACAAAAGACACACAATTCAAAGAGGCAATCCAGAGACAGAATTCCTATAATAGAAACATTTGCTCATCTGTTCATTCAACAAATATTTACTGGCTCTCTTCTGAACCAAACATTGTTCTATGTCTCTCCCAGTCAAGCTGTCAAAATGCTACAGTTTTAAATGCCCTTCTATTATCAAGTCCAAAAGATTTCATCTCCACATAAAATAATTCACTGACCCTTGTCATGGGCAGTTTCATTTTTCACATGTCTTCCAGACTAAAGTGGAAGAGTAGTGGGATAGAGGAAAAGAAACACAGAAATGGAGAATATAGATGTAAAATTGAACTCCCCTTCAACTTTCACTCTCTGAATTTCTTGCAAGAGTTTTCTCTTTTGGCCTTTTCCTTTGCAGTCTTACTCAGAGACCTCATCCCCTCCATTGTCTCTAACCTCTGCTGATTCTGAAAAAGAATCAATACTAACCTAAAATATAAAGATGTCTTTTATTCTTGTTATTACCACCATTACTCTCAACACTATCCACATCTACCATTCTAGGATTCACAATAGTGTGGGAGCAAAGAATATAAGTTAGTTTAAATCTTCTTCTAGGGCTTTTCTGTCAAGTTCTGTCATTGAGAATGGAATAAGCAAAAAAAAAAATTTCTATTGTTTATTATTATTTTCTACTTTTAAAATACCTTACTAACATTAATACTAATGTGTCACTGATTAGTCATCTCATTAATTTGCTGTTTTCAAAACTATTTAACTTTCCAAAGCTATTTTGCTAGTCATCATATGTAAGAAAAAATATTTCTATTTATATAGCATAGAGTAATACTTTGCTCAGATTGAAAAACTGGAAAATATTAAGAAATAAGCTAGTAAATGGTACTGAGTTATGTCTCAGTTTCTTTAAATTTTAGTGCTCTGTCAAGTAGTTTTATCTAGGAAAAGACATTTCCCCTCCCTCCCTAAGTTTATTTCTTCACTGATAAAAATGAATTTCAATTCACAATTAATTTTAATCCAACAGATCTCAATCTTCCTCAATCTCCATCAATACCACAAACGTCTATATGTCACTGTGGAAAAGCATAGTGTTAAGTGAAAAAGGAAAAAAAAATAGAGTCTAAAGCACAGCTACATTTATTAAAGTCTTAAAATATAAACAGAAAAACAACATATTTTTAAAGGTCGCCTTCACACTTACCAGATTCATTAAAAAGAATTAAAAAGGGAATGAGAGTGAAGAATCAAATAGAGAATCCTTGCACTACACTGTGCTAAGAACTCATAGGGTAAGTGTAACACAACTCTTATGAACCTGACAACAACAATAAAAGCAAATTCAAATAGAGTTGATAATATAAATTAATGAATAAACAACTCTGAAGAACTAGTATTTGAGGTTGGAAGGAAATTGCTACTGTTGTTGAGTTGTAAATTTATTTTCATTTTTAGGTTCAGGGGTCTCCTCCAGGAACTGCTGCTGCTGCTTTTGTTATTGACCATCAAGTTAGAGTCAACCCAGGTCAGTCATATTCATTTCTTAACTTGTTAGCTAGTTTCAGTAAAACTCTAATCTCCAACTCTTCACTATTTATACTCTTTGCTATTTCCTCACAATTTCTCACTGAATCAGAAAATAAAATTCTGAATCTATTCATCATTTAAGATCTGTGCTGATTCCCCACCCACCAATTATGTTGTTTTAGGGGCATTTCAAGCCCAGAGTGGTTTCGATTCTCTAAGAGTGATGTTCTTCTCTCCCTAGGTTTGTTCCTCTTTTGTACTTTTGAGACTTTGACATTCAAAGTGGATTCTGTTCTTAGCACATTACATCCTGTCTTCTGCTGATAATTATGTTCTCATGGTCTAGCATGGCTTTATATTTGCATAGCCTCTCTCCGCAACTTAAAAAGAATAACAATGAATAACATGTACTCAATAACCTGAGGAAACAGTACAGCTAACTTCTTTTTCAAATCTGCTTAAGTATACAGTGCAATTCTGAGCATATAATAAGGACTCATTAAATGTCAGAATAAACAACCTTTGTTTCCAATTTTTGTTCACAGTTGCATGCCCCAACTGTAGAAGTAGAAATAATCACCAGAGAAATCTCCTGGTTGAGGAATGGCAGCAGGTCTCAGGTTGGTTCTAGGTTTTACAGTTCTCAGAGTCTGAGAAAGATACAGCAAGGACCCTAAACAGGTTAAAATGTTTCCCTTCTATTTGCTTCCCTACTCTTTCAATCTGTAGCTCCATTACAGGAACTTCTTTTTCTCAGCAAGTTTGGGAAGGAGTGAAAAATATTATTCTGTTAAGAACCTCTGCTTTTTGGAACTAAAAGCCACTACCAGCCTAGCCTGTAATTTATGAACAACAACAACAAAAATTGCTCTGTTCTTACCTGGAGGATCTGTGCCTTGAACCACAGAGGAATCCAGCCTGATCAGATTCACTGATAGTGCCATCATCCAAGAAATCCAACCAGAACCCATTCTGGGGAAGAAAAATGAGACAATGAAACCAGGTCAGCTTCCTCAGAATAAGGCTTGGCCATACACAACCTAGTCAAATAAATATTCATTAAGAATACAGATATCTTCCTAGTCTTTTCAGGATTGGAAACTGTACAAATTGATAACCAATCAAGATAGAAGAGTTTTGCATCATTAGGTGCTGGGTGGAATACTCTCATCAACTTATGTTATACTGTTCAAAGATTCTTTACCTGCAAATTCACTGACAACTGTTTTAAGTGTAGGAAAATTGACTCAGAAGAAATATATTATACAAAATAAGCTTACAGATTGCTTAATATATGTCCCTCCCTGTTCTTTAGCACTGTCCCTAGCCTGTTCTGATCAGTTAAGATCTCCTTTCCCATGGAGTAGATGGAATTTCCAAGGAAGAATGTGCAAATGGAACAGAATATTCTGAAGTTTATGCCTTAGTATGAGTTAGTGGAGAAATTGGGGGAGGAAAAAAAAATAGCAGGGATAGAGAATAACTAGTTCTTTACAAGCCAATAAGAGGGACACACACATACACACACACAGAGTAGAAAACCGAGAAAAGGGGTTATTTTTTAAAAACGTAAATTCTGTCAAAATCTTGTATAAAACATAAGAAAATGTTATTGCATTTTTTTATTTTTTAACTTTTTTATTATTATTAATTTCAATGAACATCTACAGAGATTTTGGAATTCCATTCATTCATTGTTGCACTTTTCTCCCCACCCACTCACCCCCA